ATAGGCAGGTGCTCTACCACTTGAGCCATGCCTCCAGGCTTTATCTACACATTTTAAGTTTATATGTAATGTTTTCCCACAAAAATTTAGATAATTTTGTTGTTTTCTGTAAGACGAACTGAGCATTCCTTGACTACTTGGAATAAATATTTCATGACACAATGTGACAAGGATTATATTTTAACAACCTGACTGGCATAGACCCCTCTGGATGTGGAAGAAATCATTTATGGTTTATATAGTTTTGTTCAACATATTTGGACAGATTTGGTTTTTATAAAATATTCTGATTATACTTAAAACAACCCATATAACTAATCTATATTGTTTTGGTTGCTTTTAACTCAGAATATCCCTAGATAAGCTGATTTAATCTTAATGGAAATTAAATATAAAAGGATTTAAAAAGCTAAATGCTTTGGATAAAATAAAAGGAGGCTTCTCTAAATCAATAGTTTATCTCCGTAGCATCTGGTTAGTTTTATGCTTTGGAGCAATCCCTAAGAGGAAGGTGCAGGATTCTTCTGGGGTCTTTTTTAAAATGGCAAGTTTTCTCTGCTAGTTTTAAGAAGGGTACCTGTGGGAGAGGTGGATCTGGAAACTGATCTTGGCTTCAAGTTACCCATCGGGAAGCATATCCTCTGCACCCCCTCGCAGTGCTTATGTAGGCAGTGGGGCTAAGTTACTGGCATCATTCTACCCTCTTTTATTTCGGGGGTGCTGGGGTTGGGGAGCAAATCTAGGGCCTTGTGCATGGTAGGCTGGCATTCTACCACTGAGCTAGGCCCCAGTCCTGTTGCATTTCAGATGATTTAAAAAAAAAAAAAAAAGTTGGGCCCCAGTGGCTCACACCTGTAATTCTAGCTATTCAGGAGGCACAGATCAGCAGGATCAAAATTTGAAGTCAGCCAGGGAAAATAGTTCGAGAGACTCTATCTTGAAAATATCCAATACATAAAAGGCTAGCAGAGTGGCTCAAGTGGTACAGCTGGCCAGGCAAGTGCAAGGCCCTGATTTCAAACCCCAGTACCTCAGAAAAAAAAAAAAGTCTTTAGACATATAGGGAATGTCTAAAGAGATGTAAAAAGAATTCTGTAATGTAAGTCAATAAGCAAGGAGCTTCCCAGTCTTGCACTCCCTTTGTTGTTCATTGACAATGCTGTTACAAAACTTTTTCTACAGTCATGCACTAAACACTATGGGAAAAGGTAAACATATTAGAAAATGGATGCCTAACACACTGCCACTCAGGTTCTGCATGTGTGAGCACTGGAGATGTTTTTGTTATGCATTTTACAACTTTTGTTCCTAAATTGGACCAGGATCTTTAACGAGATCATTCTCCTACAATTCTGCCTAGGGTGTTCCTCTACACTGATGATAAACACTGGGTGCTTATTACGTGTGCTCATCTACTGCAGTAGGCATTTTACATGGATTGCCACACTTAATTCTCACAGCTCTTCTAGGAGGGTAAAAATTACACTCACTTTACAGATTGGAAGATTATGGTTTAACTAAATTAAATAACTTGCTCAAGGTCACATAGCTAGCATACCAGTTTGTACCTGCATCAACTGCCTTCCAGTGCTAAAAATGAATTGTTAGGCAAGCAATGTTTGTTGCCTCAATCCACTGCTGTCAAATTTTCATATGGGTATACATTTCATTGCCCTAGTTTGCTAGAGTGCCAGAGAGGAGGAGGGAGAGGAGAGAAAGGGAGGGAAGGAAAGGAGAAAGGGAGTGAGGGGGAGAGGGAGAAAAAGAATGAGAATATGAATGATAAGGCCTTGGTAAGTGCTGGAAGTTTTGCATTTATGTTCTGAGAAACTCAAAGTACTTTTCATACATTTCCCAAAGAAAATCTGATTTACCCCAATCTAATGCATGCCTCATAAAGAACAGCAGTGAGCCCAGCATGGTGATATACACCTGTAACCCCAGCACTGAGGACTCTGAGGCGGGAGGATCATGAGTTCCTGGACAGCCTGGGCTACAGAGGGAGAGTTTCAAACAAAAGCAAAAATAGCAGGAAGATATATTGAGTGCTAGACACATTTGGTTTGAATTCCTAGATTCTACAATGAAATTTTTGGGTTCTTAAAAGATCTTCAATTCCTATATCTTCTTGAAAACTTCCTTAGCTTTTTCTGGTCTTTCAGAGTATATCATTTTACTCCATTAAAATATATACTGTTGCCAGGCACTGTGGTGGCTCTCGCCTATAATCCTAGCTACTTGGGAGGCTGAGATCAGGATTGCCGTTTGAGGGCAGCTGAGGAAAATAGTTCATGAGACTCCCCATGAGCAAATTAATCACAGCAAAATGGACTGGAGGTGTGGCTCAACGGGTGTATTTACAGCCAGAGAAAAGTGACTTAGGAAAATGTCTTGATTGGCTGGAGGGAAAATTTGACTTCTATGGGTCTAGTCTCATCAGTTGATAGCCTGTATTTGGCTGACACTTAGTTGCTTGGTTACAAGGGTATAGTGTTAGGTTAGTTTGTTTATACATCTAGCTAGGGTACAGTTCACTATGTAGGGAGGCTGCTTTAGGACAAACACTATCACCCAAGTACAGAGGTAAGTTAGGCCAAGCTTACTTAACAATGAATAGCAATAACTGCTTTTACTACTAAAATGACACTTCCATGCCACTGTTCTGTAGGTTTTCCTCTTACCCTGAGTCTCCTTCACTTATTCCATAATTATTCCTCAAGATTCCATCCTTGATTCACTGCTTTTTCCCACATTCTTGGGTGATTCAATACAGAATCATGGTTCTGATTGAGTGTTCCAATGCAAAAATCCTTGTATCCTGTTTGGATCATTCCCAAACCTCTAGTTTTAGCATTTTCTGGAGTTTTCAGATTGAATTCATGCCCCTTCCCCATATACTTTTACCTCATCATTTTCACTACAATAAATGTTACCACTTAATCACAAAACAAACAGGGGTCATGTTAAATTCCTTGTTCTTAGACTAAAAATTTTGCCCCATTTCCCACATCTGCCCTTTGTCTATCGCATTATGTTAAGCTCTACTGCTTCCTATTTCAATCGCTGCCTCCATTAAATCTATTCTCTAGTCTAGCCAATCATTTATATAGACTCCAAATATGAACATTGCCACATTAAAGCAAAAACAGTAGTGGGGATTGAACCCAGAGGCCTAGAAATTGCTCTACCACTTAAATGTACTCCCAGCCCTTTTGTTTTTGAGATAGGGTCTCACTAACTTTGCCCAAGCTGGCTTTAAATTCATAATCCTCCAGTCTCTGCCTCACAAGTAGGTGGGACACAGGTGTGTGGCACAGACCTGGTCTGCTGTTTTTTTAAAACTGGTAATAGATCCAAGTTATTTACGTAGGCATCTCGAATCTGCTATTCCCTGACCCCAGCAATCTTTGTGACTTCTGTCAATTTCAACTCCAACTGAGAAATAGGGAAACACCCTGCTATCCTAGTACCCTGCTTTAACTTTCACTGCCCTTTACGCTACAGTTGTTTCTGGCTCTGTCACTAGACATTTCCCAAGGCAAGGACTTTCTAACTTATTTTTGTACCTCAGCCTGACACAATGCTCGAGTTTATCAGGTATGCAAACTGGTATTTATTTATGGTGCTGGGGACTGAACCTAAGGCCTCATACATCCTGGGCAGGATGTTCTACCATTGAACTACACCTCCAGTCTGGTATTCAAGTTTTTGTTGAACTGAAATGCTACCCTTCTTTCTTCTTCTTGAACAAATTGTAGTTCAACAAATACTGATCATTTAAAGGGGTGTTTTTTCCCCTGAAGATCACCACCCCCCCATTCCTAGGAAGCATGTTAAAATTTTTTTATTTCCACCCCAGGCATCTTCATTTTCATTTGACGGCAGTGAATGATTTATTGTGCAAGTTGTCAAACCAACAGTTATACTTAAATGCAGCTTCTTTACCAATTACAAATTTGCAAGTGATAAATGTATGCAGATGAAGGCTAAGTTCAAACACAGACATGAATACCTACTTCAATAAAATTAGTTACTTGAGCACATTTATGTATACCAATGTGGGTATGCTATGGTGAACTAGCATTTCTAGTTATTATAAGCATGCTAATGAGGAATGAAACAAGAAAAGCAGAGAAAAACAAGTTTCATTATGCTGGATACTCAGTGAAGGATATACTTTTCCTTATGTAAACCCAATGGCTGTCTTAAAAAACAATGAAATCAAATACCATCCAAATTACTGAAAGGGGCGATGGTTAATATACAGACATTTAAAATCTACTTTGATCCGAGGCTAGCACTGAGCAAAAACATGAGATACTATCTGAAAAATAACTCCCCCCCAAAAAATAGGGTATAGCTCAAGTGACAGAGTGCCTGCCTAGCAAGTGCAAGGCTGAGTTCAAATCCCAGTTCTGCCAAAATAGATACTATTTTTAAGAGGTGATATTTTTAAGATTTCATTTATAAAAGTCCCTCCTAAAATCTTACTATTTCTCCAAGAAATTCCCACATTCCCTACTCCAGTAGGCCGCAGGAGTGATTAAGTAGTTCAGTTTACTAATGTGTGTAAGATGAAGCCAGATGTGATGGTGCGTGCCTGTAGTTCCGGCTATTCAGGAGGCTGAGGCAGGAAGATCACCTGTATCCAGGGGTTTGAATGAAGCCTGCATAACACATTGAGAATCCATCTCAAAAACAACCAACCAGAACATGTGTCTGATCAAAGAAGCATTCTGTATACAAAATCTAAGAACCTTCATATATTGAAAATAACAAACTGGTGGTTTGAAATATTTATTTCTAGAGAAGTTAATCTGAGCTTAGGGCTTCACAATGTTGAGAGACCATCTAGTCTGAAGCAGACAGTGAGGATGCAAATCTCAGAGCCATATTTCTGTAAAAATAAGTCAAACTTACATTTGTCAAAAGGAAGAAGTAAATTCGAGAGATATGCTGTGGAATCACAGGCTATACAAGTGAATAAAGCAAATGCTGACCTGTGAAAGATTCAAGATACCAAACCAGGATAACTTTACTTCAAAGAACTCCATACAGACTAAATATATTTAGTATCATACTCTCACAATGCTTACGACAACTCTAATGATGAAACATTCTGAATGTTTTAGAATGGCAAATGCTAGCTGAAAAAAAAAAACAGGTAAAATTAACAAAAGAACCAAAATGGACTTTCAAAGATAGTTTTTGCTATCTGTTCTTTTCTTAATAGTAAGTAGAAGGGCTGGTGGAGGGGCTCAAGAGGTAGAGCACCTGTCTAGCAAGTGTGAGGCCCTGACTTCAAACTCTAGTCCTGCCAAAAAATAAATAACTTAATAGTAAGTAGATTTAATGGTAAGACATTTTTCAAAGCTCCATTTAGTAGAAAGACACAACTTCTCCTTTAATAAGCATATTCATATTTTTAGTTCACTTCCTTTTAAGAAAAATGTCTATCATTTTTAGGAAGAATGGAGAAAGGAAATAAAACCCTCTACAAGAGTAGAAAGGTTTATTTCTCTTTACCTAGTACATGTAGTAACAGCTACACCTGGTGGCCAGAGTTATGCAGTGAGGTTTTTCTAGCCATATTGTTATATAAAAGGTAAGTTCAGAAATGGCCATTTTTCAATTTGTTTCAAGTTTTAGGAAAAAATGTTTTAATATAAAGCAGGTTTTGAGGAAATTCTCAAGAGTCTTTGGGAATAAAAGCCTTGGCTCATTAGCTTGAAGCAAGCATCCAGAACAATTTAGTATCAAAAAGTAGCTAAAATAAAACTCAAACCCAAGAGAGAACACACAGATACTTTATTGCTCACCTTTCACACAAAGCACACCTCCAGCCATTTTCTTTCACAGCTTCACAATGTTTAAGGATACAAAAACCCAGCAAGAAGCATCATGTCACGTAGATTTCGGTAAAGGAGAATGGAAAACATCAACTCAGCCAGGCTTTTGTTTTCTGCAGCAATAGTAAAGGGCCTCCTGCACTAAGGAAAACTCTAGCTTACTGTGTAGTGCATTTCTTCCATTACAAAGAGAGTCTTCTGCCTAAAGCAAACTAACTTGTATTTGCTGAGCTAGTGGTATTAACTCGTGCATAAAACAAATTTTGGTTTGCTGTTTCTTCTAGCAGATTTCAAGTAAAAATGAGGTCTAAGGAAGAACTTGTTTTGGATGGATGCAGGTCAGTTTGAGTTGCTATACTTAACTAAATGCCTACAGGTACTATAGGTTCACAACTTAGTTTGCTTTTATAGTCTTTATGGATTTTGGCCGTGTTCAAGGTTTCAGAGTTGAGCATATGGTACAGTATTCCATCAACAGAATAAGGCTACTGGATGTGCTATATGCAGAAGAGCTCATTTAATAGGAACTCACTTTAATAGGTCTATCACGAAGCAAATGTGGCACAACCTCTCTAAAGTTTTTTAAAATGTCAATCGGGGCAGAACTGTGCTTGAAAAATAGACATTAGGACAATTCACTCAAAGCACATGAGTGGATTGTTAGTATGAGGAAGGTTCCCAGTTGTAAATGTAAAAAAAGACTAAGTGAATCCTCACTTTCAAAACTGCATGTTGAAAACTACTTTATTCAAGTAATTTCTTCAAAAAAGCAGTATGTATGTTCTGACTGTGAAATTAGTCTAGTGATCAATTAAAGACAATTTTAACGACCTTAAATTTTTTTTTCATAGAAAGGAAGAGAGATGTGTTTCTTAAATAAACAGTATTATGTAAGTGTTTAAAAAAAAAAGAAAAAGAAAACAACAGATCAAATGAATGCCTACAAATGCTTATGCCAAGCAGGAATCTGCCTGCCACCTGTGGTCTCATATTAATTTAAAATAGATTCAGGATTCTGGAACTAAGTTTCTATTATTTGAGCTCTAGCAAAATGTAGGGTTCTGTAGCCTCAACTGGTATAATGTCTTCCCTGTCCAAATCCAGACTGATTATACTGGTAGCCTCCATGCTGGAAGTGCTGTTCAAACTGACCTCCTTGGTGGTAAGTCTGGCTTCCCCTTCCTCCCCACCCTCCTCCCTGCCCTCCACGTCCACCCCGGCCTCCACGACCACCTCTCCCGCCGCGACCACCACCTCGATCACCATGGTGCCCACCATCTTGGTATCTATTGTCCTGCTGGTATCCACCACCCTGGAATCCACTTCCTGTATATGAAGATGTTTGGAAGCCACCATAGCCACCGCCTTGATAACCACTGCTGTGGCCACCATGATAGCCGCCTGGCTGGAAACCTGAATCTCGATAACCACCATCTTGGTAGCTACCTCCTCCTCCACTCCCTCCATCTGTCCATCCTCCTTGATGTTTATTTCCTCGTCCCCCCCCTCGGCCACCATGGTCATAGCCACCACGTCCACCTCTCCCTCCTCCTTGTTCATGACCTCCTCGTCCTCCTCCATATGAGGAATGTTCATAACCACCTCTCCCTCCTCCTCGGCTTCCTGTTTGCTGTTGGGGGCCATCTTGCCTTTTCTGCCATGGTGGCATCTCTGGGGGTGGAGGTTCAATTTCATTGGGTCTACCACCTCTATCAGGCACCCTGCCCATCAACACCTATGGAATAAGAAAGATATTTTAAACTATCTTACTTTATAAGCAAAGATAAATGTGTTTGAAAGAAAATTAAAGGTTCTCTAATCACCTTATTGATAGCACAGGCAGTCTTTTCTCTTATAGAACCACTGCTTGTCCTTAAAATCTTTGACAAGTCTTGTCTTGCAGCCAAAAGATGGGCAACGGAGATAGTACTTTTAGGAGATAAGACTGAACGCTTCGGCTGGTAAACCTTGGCTAATTTTTCTGTCTGACTCTGTTGAAAAAAGTGTTCAAAAACATGTCAATTTTCAAAATGCACAAGAAACACTCATATTAAATAAGTTATAGATCTGATAATAGAATTTACTAGGCTCCAAGTGGTAGAAAAATGATGTACTCAACACTGCTCCTGCCTAGTCAAGAGCTGTCTTATATAAGTACAGTTTCCAGAACTGTCAATATAGCAAGGACTGAAGACGGGGCTGGGGTGGAGTGGAGCATTTCCTTCAGATGCCTACAGATCACATCCATAAACAATTATTGAATATGTACCTTAGCTCTGTCAGACCACCAAAGGACTGCACAGTGACATCCAAACGTTTTATTAGCAGCTTTCTCCGGACTTCGTATTCATTGGCTATGGCTTGGTTAATTGCTTCTATCTTTTCCTGAAGCAAAATTAAAAAGAGTAGTTAGAATTTAAATCTCCTTGATCCCCTGCTCCTAAAGGACAGAAACTATGGTCTGTTTCCTTCATAATAGACTCCCCAGTATTTAACACACATAGTCCTTTGCAATTGGCAATATAGCACACACGCACACACTTTTGGGTGGAGTGGTACTGCGGGTTGAACTCAGGACCTCACGCTTGCTAGGCAGGTGCTCTACATCTTGAGTCATGCCCATAGTCCTGGACTATAATCCTACTTCTGCCTGGGATGACAGGCGTATACCACCATGCCCAGCTTTTATTGGTTGAGATGAGGTCTCGGGGAATTTTTGCTTGGAACCAACCATCTTCTCTCTGCCTGTCCATCTCTACCTCCTAGCTATGATTATAGGCTTGAGCCACCACGCCTGTACCAACTGTTAATATATTAATGGTTAGTGAAATAAGAGAGGCAAAAAAAAGTTAAGTCTCCAAACATGATAAACAATATGTTAAAGTACAAAATTCTTGTTTAGCTTTCCCACAATTCACAGTGGGAAGCTCAAATCAGCCCAATGAAGTTTTTGGCTTGCTTCCATTTGGCAACTGGAAACATGTATCACATTGAACTTCAATTTACTATTATTAATATAATTAATTATCTTGTGAAATACTTACAAATTATGAGATAAGTGCTTCGAATCTTTTCTTTTTTAGTGAGACTGTGGTTTGAACTCATGGCTTTGACTTGCAAAGCAGGCACCCTACTGATTGAACTACACTGCCAGTCCAATTTCACTTTGGTTATTTTGGAGATGGGGTGCTTGGGAACTATTTGCATGGGCTGGCCTCTAACAATGATTCTCCTGATCTCAGCCTCTCAAGTAGCTATGATTACAGCTACCACTGCCAAGCAAGTGCTTCTAATCTTATACAAATATATAAGCGTTGACATAAAAATCATGAAATAGCTAGATGGCTCCTTACAAAATTCACTCAGAGGATCACTACTCACCCAGTGGGCTGGTCCCATAGGCTTCTTCAGTAAAGGCTTTCCCACATGATTAGGTGGAACTTTTGCTAATGTTTCCTTTAACTGACACAAAAACATAAATAAATGAATAAAAAAAAAATCTAAAAGTAAACATAACTTCTTCATCTTCCCAATTCCCATCATCATCATCAAAAGAAGACTGCTGACAGAGGCAAAGGTGGAGGATGCTTTGAAACGTAAGTGCAAAGACCCATGAAATGGAGACACTCACTTGTCCCACTCCTCAGTGCCTACAGAAGCATGATCCTTCACTGGACTTAGAACAGTGCCTGACCACAGCGGGCACTCAGTGGGCATCTGCTGAATGGATGAATGAACACACAGAAAATATGGACTATAGATACACTGCTGCGTCCCTGCGTGCTCAGCCGATCTACCCCACTCTGCAAATGTACCGATTCTTAGAGTCCAGCAGATACACACATAGGAAATAACTGCTATGACAAATACCATTCTCTTTTACGCATTCATTTTTTTGTAAAATTGCTTGTTCCTAATCAATTATATAAAAGTACCTTAACTGTTGGAAATGCGTGGTATAAAAACAATGCTAGTTTATTTTCACATACTAGATTATATTAGCAGTTAGCAAATCTAGTCTGCTAATTGGAACATATAGACCCGAAGTGACTGGATTAAAGAACAAACGATCAACATCCTTTTCTGTCCAGTCCATGGGGAAGAGGGTAGTAATAATTTAATGATAAAGACCATAAAAACTGCATCAAAGTTCAATGATAAGATAATTTTAAAAGGACTTATCTCTTAATTCTTTTTATATTATGTTTAGCTTACTTCAGCTTTTAAACCAAAGTGTAGTTTCCTTTTTGATAAAGAAACATGCTAGTAGGTTTTAAGAAACACTAAAACACTAATTTCTCTTTAAGGCATCTAGGATTTAAAACCCCAAACTCATTTAGTAACAATTACTTATTAATATGCACATTAGGCTCCCATTAAGAGAAATAAACTTAGTGTTTCATTTCAAACAAATGTAGGACTATGCCTTTAATACACTACAATCTGGTACTAAAGGTCTTACTTTTTTCTCAATCCCGCTGAAGAATTGGAACATAGTTATATTGGCTGGAGGTTTGGACATTCCTAGAGCAATACATATGCCTTTCAACTCTTGAAAGACCTCACTACCGCCTCCTTCTTGAGCTTTTTTTGGAGGAGCATTCACACAGAGCATTCTGGCAGCTTCTAGTTCTGAGATGAGGTATGCTGAAGTAAACAAAATAAGATTTCAAAATGAGATACAACTATAGTTAATAGTCAAAGTCTGGAGTCACAACTCTATAGACCTAATGATATGTAACTTTTAAAGCTGCAAGAATGGATTAAAAACAAGAAAGGAAAACCACTTTTACCTGTAAATGATGCAACATATAAAATGGTTATGTAATTCAGGTATTTAACCAATATATAATGTTTAAAAGTTAATTTAAAAATACGCAATTCTTTGAAACCAGAGGATCAAAGTAGATCACAGCTAAAGATTCTGATTCGTGCATTCTACTATAAGGAACCTCCAGAACAGGGGTTGGCATCTGTTAAAAAGTTTTCAAAGGTAACAAGTGGCCAATTTTTAGTGACAGTTAAAAAGTATACAGATTTTTAACTTCTCATCACTTGTGAGTACCAGTGATACAACTACCTTTCCCTCTAAGTTTAACTTACAGGAGAAGTGGAAAGGCACAAAACTCCCCAAAGTGCCTTTTCCATGTCTCCAATAACCTATGCTATCCTCTGGCTGTTTTAAAGAAAACTCTTCCATCTTTATTCTTCTCAAGGTGCCCTGGCCCCCACTTTCTTAACCTCACTCCCCCACAAATAACACAACTTTTACATTACTTCTTTGCAGAACTCCCTTCGTGTCAGTATCATACTGTGTATGTTGGTTTCAACCAGGTATAATGATGGTCACAATGTTTCAGGTAATTCAGTAGAAACTCTAAATATTCAATTACATTTCTTGAACCTTCCCCAAGGACATTTCGATTTTTAGAAAGACAAATATAATATGAACCTTAGGATATCAGGTTATATGGCAAAGTGAGATCCTCCTGATAATGTAAAGAGAGTAATTTGGGGAAAAGATATTTTCTAGGCCCTTAAGTCCTATTAGAAATACAAGAGTGATCAACTTGAATAATGAATTTACTATCCTCAAGGGAAAGTCCAGGAACATGGGGACCATAATTTTGGCAAATCATTTCTGTAAAGCTGCCAAATCCTGTTTCTAAAACAATAAAAACAGCCAAAATTTTGCAAAAGTCATTCTAAATGTGTTTGATAAAATCTTAACATGATCCATAAAGCAAATTGTACTTACGCATTATCAAAACAGTAAAACCCCACAGTTACGTAAATAACCTCTGTTGTTGTGTGGCACACTGCCACACTCATTCCATTACAGATTCTGTGGCCGCCTTCCTGCTACAACAGCAGAGTTGGGTAGCTGTCACTGAATCTTATTGGCCTGCTCAGCCAGAAATATTTACTATCTGGCTCTTAAAGAAAAAAAAATTGCCAACCCTTGTTCTAGAAAATCATATACTGCATGATTTAATAAACTAGTTCTCTAAATTTGGGACAGCATTGTTCAGGCATTCACAAAATTAATTAACCAATATAATCACCATGAAAAAACTTTAACTGCAATTGTGTTCAAGGTACTAGGAAAGGTGCTAGAGATTCTATTAAAAAAGCAAACAAAAAGATTATCTCTACTGACAATCTAATTAAGAATAAAAATATTCCCCCTCCAAAAAAAGATGACTAGCTCTTCATCTGTTAGGAACTCAAATCTGACTTAACTTACCTACAGGAAATAAGCTGAGAACCATAAAAAGCCAGTGAACAAGCAAAACAGTCCTTAACCGGATCCACGAGAGAGCTTCTACCACTCACTCAAAGACTATTCTATTTTCTAACAATTCTAATGAGGTTTATTTACTTCTCCCCCAAAGTACAATATGCTAAAAGATTCAAATTAGTGAGATTCTGGAAGAAATAAACTTATAGCGTCAAGATGTGACAACTGACACTGGGAAAGATGAGAAATCATCACACAGAGCAGCAGTGGGTATGTGTACGGCACACTAAAATGACAGAGAGGTTACAAGCTGAGAACATTTTAGAAAGGGGAAACAGCAGAGGCAAAGATAAAGAGGAGGGAAATAGTGTACATGTATGAAGAATTTAAGAGTGACCCCTTCAGTCGACTTTTCATTTAGTTGAGTAGGACATAGTTGTATACTCTTGAAAAGCTTTTTGAGGTACTACCCTGTTAAAAATAAAGTCTGTGACCTGAGTCCAAAATAATTTCAGTGCTGTCTGTTTAAGTAACAGGAAGAGTTAAAAAGCAACCTATAAAGATTTACATTTAAAGTGGCTTTTGTAAACATTGGTGCTAAAAAGGCCAAACTATGAGCCATTCAGGGTCATTACCAAGTATTCCACGCAGCTGTTACAGTCCTATGTAGATAACAGAGTCTAAATGCCAACTCTTACTGTTAAGGATAAGCAATGTTCCAGAGGAAGAGCCAGTGGAGTACATGGCAGTGGAGCCATTGCTGAAATTATATAACCTGAAGGATATTGAATGAATGTATAAGAACTATATGTAGCAATAGATGTGTTTCAGAATGCTACAGAAATTTTGAGTTAAGACTATTGGCTGTGTTTACAGAAAGTTTTATACAAGGCGATAAAATTTGTGAGTCTACTTACTGTTTTTTAGGGTAAAGAGAAAAAGAATCATTGGTAAAAAAAACATCAAAGGAAAAAACTTTTCATCAAAATTTATTTCCCAGAAAGATCAGAAAGTACAACAACCAGCCAAGTACTATTCCAGAATATTCATAAACAAAACCCAAACCCCCAACTACCAAGACACAAAGAAGTATCAAAGTAAATAATTACATTACCATTAACTGTATCTAATGAGTGCTTACTCTCCTCAAAGAAATTAATTGTAAAGAAACCTCATAAACATCTCTATACTACCTCCCAGTCTATTTAAAAATGTGCTTCTAGGTTGGGGTGGGAACCAGCAGGAGTGGGGAGACTGAAAGGGGAGGATGAAGTGGGGGTTGAGTATGATTCAAGTACTTCATGCACATGTGTGAAAATAGAATAGTGAACCCCTTAAAAGCTGTTTGAAAAAGGGGGACAGGAGGAAGAAAGAGTAACAGAGGGGGTGAAATTCATCAAAGTACGTTATATGACATAATATGCATTATGGAAGTAATCACAATGAAACATTTTTATACAATTAATATACATTTAAAAATGTGCTTGTAGTCTAGAACGCAAAACTTTAGCAATCACACACTTGAACAATACTCTAACACCACCACTGGTTACATCAGGCGGAGCACAACAGCTTGAGTGCCATCAAAGGTGGAATGACAAAAGAGCAGCATATAAAAACAACAGTGCTACAGTGCACATGCCCACCATCAGCTCCTAAGTCAGAAATTTAATGTGCCCTTTAAAGTAAATAGCATTTGAATTAAATCCATAATGAAACGAAATAAAAGAACAAGCGGTTTATTAGTCATGAAAAGCATAAACAGAAAGTAACAGCTACATGCTAGTAGCCATGAACTTACTGAGCAGAAGGAGGCAGTTTTTCTGAATGAGCAGGCGCTTGGTCACATCCCCAGATGTCAGGGAAAGATACGGGCAGTTCATCTCCCCTAGCAGCCCACTCACCTCAAGCTGGAACTCTTCAGCTTCACTTGGACCTTTTAAAAGTAAAATAATAATCTTACTTAATAACACTGCTTGTTTTCCCATTAGCATAAATAATACGTATAAACTGAAATTTTTAATAGGTTTTGCTAACTTTAGTTCCTTCTATGCTAACTGTGCTAACTGGTTGCAGTACTGGAACACCCCTTTAGTTCCTTCTAAATAAATTCCTTCTAAATAAATTCTAATTCAGCCTTTCTCACACTACTGCAGAATTTCTTACCTGTGTTTATTAGGTTATTCCCTTACCTAAAAATCCTTCATGGCTTCTAATTTATATTTCATCTAAGGTGATTACTGTCTGCTTTTAAAGATTTTTCACAGCTGCTCTTGTCTGCCCTTTCTAGCACCTTCAGTTTCAATTACCGATGGCCTACCTCCACAAATATCCTCTCAGTTTGTGCCAGGCCAGTCTCATTTCCGCATCTGAGCCCTCATTTAAGTTATTTCCTGTGATTGATATGCTCGATACTCTCTTCTCCTGTAGTAAATCCCACTCATCTATCAAAGCCCGGGGTGTTGCTCCTTGAGGAAGCCTTCCCTACATACTCAGTGCTCATTGATTTCCTCCCTTTGTGGACTACAAAGGGAAGCATTTCATCACTGCACTAATCTTCAGTTGTTTCATTTACACCTCATATACTGATTAGGCCAAATTTGAAGGCAGCAGACTTGACTTACAGCTCTATATTCCCATAACATGTAAAACAGTCTGCAATTCATTAGGTGAGCCAAGGGAGAGGGAATGCTCTCTTCCATACTATTCTGATTGTTCTCGATTCAAGTAGCATAGAGGGGTAGAAATTGGCAAAAGTTGAGTGTCACTTGAAAGTCCCAATTCCCGTCTTTTCATTTGTAAAACAAGAACTGTACTACCAAACTGTGACTTGTGAACCCTAGGGTTCCACTAAACTCAGTCAAGGTAGTTGGGAAGATGAGGTGAAACGAGAAGACAGCATTAACAGTGTCTTGTCAACTGTAGTCTATGCAGCCTGGAATTCCACAGAGCTTCCTTACAGGCAGCTAGGGAGGATGAGGATGCAGTTTGGCAAAGGCACCCCCTCTGTATATCAAGCAGAACAGCTGCTGCACGTTCTTATCTGTTTTCTGTGCTGGCTTCTGTGTTTCACTTGAACAAAGGGACTATAAGTTAAAAACAAGTTTTCAAAGGTTCCTGCACATTTTCTGACATACTAGGTCCAGACTGCTATTTAGCAGGATGGTTAAGCTCTAGCTCCTGAACTTGGCTCCTGGCTGCCATCTGTCTTTACCAGTTATAGGTGGTATGACCTCGGCAATATATTTAGCTTCTTTGGGCTTTTGCCTTGAACGTATGGTGAGTAATAAAACCTGCCTCATAGGGTTGCCCCGAGGGCTAAATGATTTAACACATATACACTGCTCAGAACATAGTAAGTACTCAATGAACGTAAGCTCTGCTATCACCATTACTACCCTGGACTTTCTTAAGTAATTATAATTATCAGACTTGAGCTAGGGTGTAGCCCAGTGTAGTGCCCATGCACACACAAATTAGAACTGGATGCAATAACATGTACACATTAAATACACTAAGAAGAAAGAGAATGAGCTCTTCGAATAGGATTATATGTGGGGAGAAAAGGATTATGTGTATAGTTTTCCCTACGGATGGGAATTTTTGTTTGTCTCCTATATTAGAGATTAACCTATGGCAGGAAGGAACCAGACAGTGGGGTATCAGGTTCCAAACTTTTGTTGCAAACTAGTGCTAAGGTGTCATTAAAAATGGCAAATATGAAACAGCTCACAGCCCTATAATGCTGCTGAAAGAAGAAAAACATTCCAATTTCCAGTTCTAGCCACTAATCTAGGATCTCACAACTCACGTTTTACAAAATACAAAAAGTTAGCCATGTGTGATGGCATATGCCTGCAACCCCAGAACTTGGGAGGCTAAGGCAGAAACATCATGAGTTTAAGACCCTACCTCAAAAAAACAAAACATAATAAAACATGGGAAGTTTATATATTCCATTTTTCTGTATTTCAGCAACAGGGTCCTTTTAGCCTCTATCATTTTTTTATAGTTGCATGCCTATGTTTTGTTTTTTAAACTTCTGAATCGCCTTATCTCTAAAAACAATGAAGGAAAAAACTATCTGGGCTCTTTCATAACATTTTTCTTTACATTTACAAAAAACTTGAAATTTTAGCTTTAGTACTTATAAATCTCCTTTTGACAATACCCCAATTTTACTTTTAAAATAAAAGTGGATGTTTACTCACTGTTAGTTGCTTGCACATTTTCCTCAAGTTTACAGAGTACTCTTAATTCAGACACCAGCCAGGCACAGAGTTTGGTAAACTCAGGGGAACTGGCTCCAGCAGAGACTGCCTGAGAGAGCGCGCCATCATCCAACAATGGGCCCTTGTAACTGTTGAATAGGAAATTACATTTCAGAATATAAAATCACACCTAATATATTACAGGTAAAATACATCTATGTATTGTTTATATGATTAAGCAATAATTTAAAAAAAGTATGATAGCCAATTTTTAAACTTGCAAATATAAACAAAATCTAGAACTGTACTGAACTATTAAAAAAATAAGTCAAGCTAGGAATGGTGCTGCATGTCTGTAATCTCAGCACTTGGTAGTCTGAGGCAGAAGAATTATTAGTTCAAAGCCAACTTGGGGTACACAGTGAGATTCTGTCTCAATAAAAAATAAAACAAACAGCATGGTGGCACTTGGAATACAGAACCAGGAAGACCATGAATTTGAGTACAGCCTGGTCTACAAAGCAAATTCTAGGCCAACTTGGACTGCATAACCAAGACCCTGTCTCAAGAAAAACAAAACCAAGCAAACAACAACAACAAAAACCCTTTCCCCCAAACCAAAACAGTAACAAAACAGCCAAATGGTGGCTCATCCCTGTAATCCTAGCTACCCTTGAGGCAGATTTCAGGATTGGGTTTGAAGCAAATAGTTCCCGAGACCCTATCTCGGGAAAAAAAAACCCATCATGAAAAAGGGCTGGTGGAATGACTCAAGCAGTAAAAACGCCTGCCTAGCAAGCATGAGGCCCTGAGTTCAAACCCTAGTGCAACTAATAAAAACAAAAACACTCAAATGGTAACTGCATTTCAACCCTTCAAAAAACATGTTAATATTTAATTCTATATATCACTAAACAATGTCAATTTCTTTACTAAAAGCTCTTATTGTTCAAAGGTTTTTTTTTTTTTTTTTTTTTACTGTAACTGAACTGAGTATTAAAGCCAGATTAACAAGTGATAGCTAATGATACTATAACTCTTTTAGAAGTAAAACTTAAGTTACTGGGCTGGGGTTGTTTCTCAAGTGGTAGAGCCTCTGCCTAGCAAGTGCAAGGCTGGCCCTGAGCTTAATCCGCAGGGCTGCAAACAAATAGAAAAACCCCAAAACTTAAGTTATCTTCTCTAGACATTTTTCCCAGAAATCAATTAGGTTAGGTTTCCAGTGACTTCCTTTGAAAAAACTTTCCAATTAATCATTTATTTCCTTTTTCTATATTAATGATAGCTAAGACTAATAAGACATACTGTACTAGTACCAGAGAACTGTCAAGACTAACTAAGTAACTGCATCCTAATCCTTTGTAAGTAATTCTAATATAGTTTTTAGGAAACATTGAAAAAAATTTCAAATGCTGATGATAGTAATAATGACCTCCGATGACCTAACTTCTAGAATTTAAGATTTTGCTACTCAAAGTAGCCTTAGGGAGTGAGCATGGTGGTGACATGCCTACAATTACTTCAAAGGCGCTCAAATTCAAGGTCAGCCTGGGCACTTTAGTAAGACCTCATCCCAAAAAATAAAGTCAGTAATCTTAAAATATATATTGTTCAGATTATATTCTTTTAAATAAAATACTCATTTAAGAACACTATTATAGTGATACATTAAACATGCTTAAGATAATGGGATGTTTAGAGGTGTGTGTTCAGAGAAACGATTCTCAATCCCTTTAAGATGTGCCTCACGCCTGTAATTCTAACTACTCCCATCACAAAAGAATGGCTGGGGGTGTGGCTTAAGTGTTAAAGAGTGCCTGCCTACCAAGCATGGGGCCATGAGTTCAAACCCTGGAGCCACCAAGAGAAGGTGGCTTATATCGCTAACATGAAATAGAATGGAAAAAATCTGAGATTACAATAGTCTGGCATCTAGATTACAAAACCACATATTACTACAATTGTAATAAAGATGAGGTCTACAAATATTCTCCTTGTGTTTCACATTTAGTCCAACAAGTGGTTACTGAATTCCTACTGTGTTCCAGAAGTAAAAGACAGTCATTCAGCTGTAAGTTTTCAGTGAGCCCTTTAAAAGTGCATGTGAACCAATTAAGGCTCACTTTTTAATATCTGAATGCTATCAAATTAAGTTAAAATTTACAACAGTTTTCAGAAAATCCTATGGCATACATTACAACACAACTCAATTATTTATTTGATTACAATTATTTCAGTCATAACTACTTTTCCAGTAGCTCAGAGAAGTGGTAAGAGAACACTAAAGAGAAGTAACTTCATGGCAAGGGCCACTTGTGGAGTGACCTTTATCCACAGGCAATGACTACACTCCCTCCTCTCCTTCCACACTAACCTTAAGTAAGTGTCACTTTTTTTTTTTTTTTGGCAACACTGGGGTTTGAACTCAAGGCCTCACACTTGACAGACAGGCACTCTTACCGCATGGGCCACTCCACCTTGTCCAAGTGTCCCTTCCTCCAGGAGGTCTTAGGACTTCATTTCCTTTTCCAGTAAAGAAACCCTCCTCAGTGCTCCTCAGGGAATACTGTTATCACATGTATCTTTCTCCCACCTCATCCTGTACCCCAACAGTGCCACAGAACAAGTGTCCCTCAAAAATGTTCACTGAATGAATGGCTTTACATGGGAGCAAGCAACTCAGTCCCAGATGTACACTACAAAGAGCCACTTTGCAGAATGCGACACTTACACGTCTTAATGAAAGAGATAGTCTGGAAATATTTCCCCCCTCCCCGCAAAGTCTGGAATATTTGCAAACATTCATAACAAGTTTCAAAGAAAAGAACAATGGCAATTCACTTTAACAAAGAAAAGATAAGCACCACTGCTTCCTTTCTCCAAAACTGAAATCTCTAAGTTATTTAAGTGGGCAGACTCAGGGAACCCGCAAGGTGCCCTTTTCTGACAAAGGTTTGTATTAAAGAGCTTCCATGTCAAGGAAAAAAAAGCCTAAGGGAAAGTTTTGACAAAGGACTAGTTATAGGTAAACAGGGCTAGCTAAATCTGTACTTTTTTTTGGACATGGTTACTTGTCAGCAAATACTTAATCACACAATTTGTTTCTGGAACCACATTTAGCCAAGAGGTTCCAAGTTCTCAAGTTTAACAGAGTACATTGATCTGGGTGGCCCAATGAAATAAGCCCTATTTCCAAGTTCTAGACAGTGATCAATTATGGGTGGGTAACTGTCAGAAGGGCAGAAAATGCAAAAACGCTATGTGGATCCTTGGTGGTTAAAGATGAGCCTTGGGCTAATGGGCTCAATCAGGCAGTATGGGAGTCAGGGGACACTGCCAGTGTGTGTGTGTGTGGGTGTGTATGTGTGTGTGGGTGTGTGGTGGGGGTGGTGGTCCCTAGAGAGGTGATGATAGGTTAGGTGCACGATTGAGATAGCTGGAGGAACGGATGCACCCAGACATGTGGCATGGGTGCATCCAGAGAGATGACTGGGCAAAGGAGATTTTTTGAGACAAGTGGGGCGGGGTATGAGTAGAGGCTTAAGGCGGGGGTAGGAAATTTGGAGGACAAGTAGGAAAACAGACAGTCAACTTTGGCAACCCCTGGAGTGGGGGTAGGGCAGGGGAATGGGCACAAGAAGTGGGGGGTGGGTGGGAACCAGAGCCCAGACAATGACACGCTGCGGGCAACTCGGCTATCGGGAGCCCTGGGCTGGAAGGGCGTCGGGACTCGAAGACCGGAGCCGGCGGGGCAGGCAGTGGACGTGGCACTGGGGGTCCCGGGGCCAGCGGGAAGCGACAGCAGGAGCCACGGGGTGCGGCGTGGAAAGGCAGGTGTCTCAGACTGGGGCGCAAAGAGTTCCCAGGGAGTCTGCAGTGTGAATTTTGGGAGACCCGTGCCCTGGCAGTCTTACCCTAGATCTTCCAACGACTCCAAGATGTCAGTCTCCATGAGGTCACACTCCATGCTACTGTGGTATTCAAATTTCCGAGTCGTCAGGCTCCCCTCTTCGCCGGCAACGCGTACATTCGCGCATGCGCTCCCTTCCCGGAACTTCCAAGTCGGCAGCTGGCGCCTTGGCCTCTGCACTGCGCATGTGCCGAGCGTGCGCAAGCAGATGGTCCCGCCCCCCGCCCACCCCGCCTGTTGAGGGATTGCCGGGCCGCACACGTCTCCGCACGCGTACTATTGAATAGTGAAGCCAGAGCCCGAAGAAGGGCAGGAGGAGGCTGCGTGGCAGCTGGGTTCGGGGACCCCCTCAGTGGAGAGCTCCCTATGTGCGCATGTGCACAGCTTTGGGCGAGGCGGGAGGGGGAGGAGCTTGCTGGGAGCTGGTGTCAGGATTCGGTGGTTATAGGCGGTGGGAATTGGGTCTGTGCCTGCTGGAGAGGAAACCAGGTGCAGCCCTGCAACGTGTGGCACGATGTAGGTTCACCTGGGTCATGAAAAATGACCCGGGCTTAGGTTACACCGGCCAAGCACCGAGAATGGAAGATTAAGTGCCATTTGTTTTCCTTGATTGTATGAGGTGAAGCTCATGGTTACAGAGCAGTCGCCTTTCCTTTGGCACCAATGGAATCAGAAAGTTGTGCACCTGACATCTTGAGCCCATCCCAGACACTAAGCATCTCGTTTTAAGGAGACGGGAGTTTAACTCCATATCAGTATCAATCGAATACTTTTAAATTCATGCAGTTTAGACAGTTAAGAAACTTTTTTGGCTGCAATACAATTGATTTTGACACTATGTGCTTGGGTGTAATACTCAGTTCACAATCGGTTTTGATTTGTGGGGGGGAGCAGTTATTGATTATGTGCTTAGAAACACGAGAAAGATGTTTTCAAAGTGATAGCATATTGAGAAAATTATATTTAACCATAAATTGGCATACAATTATATTGTGTAGGCATTTAATTAAAGTTTCACATTGCTGCCAGATTCTACTTTGCAGTTCTCAAACAATGTCACATCTAATGGATATTTGTTCCCTATCCTCAGTAATACATTTTTAAGCCCTTATTTTACATCCTGTGAATTGGGAGATTATGATGTACCTAATGTGTGTTTAACTTATTATTCCCTTGGCCCACCGAAGGATGCAGGTCTAATAACGGCCGTGTAAATATCACTTGCATTTTGCAGATGCGGACACTTAAGGCTCAGTAGTTTAATGAGCTGTGGAAGATCTTAAGACCCACTATTAGGAACTGGATTTTGGAACAGATTCATATTTGAATCCATATTCTTTCTTATTTGACTATTCAAATAAGAATTTATAAGCAGAATATGAAAAGACAAGAAAATTTAGCTAGTTGAATTTGTATGAGCTTGTATACATTGTATATAATTATCCTATTACAATAACAATGAAATTTTTATTATAGGGTTGCTAAGGTGATAAATAAAAAGTAATGCTTAATACAAAATCTATTTCGAAAAACAGACGTTATTCTTGACTCACTTTTTCTTTTCTTGTTTTTGATTGAGGATCTCCCAATGTTTCCAGGACTGGCCTCAATCTTGGCGATCCTTCTGACTCAGCCTCCCAGGTAGCTGGGACAACACTCACACTGCTGCACCCAACTTGACTCACTTTTTCCTTCCTTCTTTCCTTCCTTCCTTCCTTCCTCCTTCCTTCTTTCCTTCCTTCCTTCCTTCCTTCCTTCCTTCCTTCCTTCCTTCCTTCCTTCCTTCCTTCCTTCCTTCCTTCCTCCCTCCCTCCCTTCCTCCTTCCCTTCCTTCCTCCCTCCCTGCTTCATCCTCAGTTAAAACATAGGCAAGATATTCTTAAACTTTCCAGCACTGTGTAGAAGTTTCCAGGGCTAAGAAAACATACTAACCAAGCTCAATAAATTATTTGAAAAAGAGTTCTTTAATAATATAAAAGTAAGGTTCAATTCTACATGCAATATTTAAGAAAAAAAGTTTTTTTCACTAAGCAAGCTGAAAAAGACTTTCTTAGCAGTATATACAAGCTTGTATTTCATGAGCAGCATGAACAAATCTATGGTTGTTCTTATTTTCTCCATGTTCTAAAGACAAATTCATTAAAAATGTAAAGGCTTCTAATCTTCAGAAAATTATTTTGTATTTGAGAAGGAAATTTAAAAATTTTAGATGACTGTTCAATCAACACATAGAAACCACTCTATGCTGATTGTTATGTTAGAGTTTATACCTACCCCACTGCTGTTATAAAAATTGCCTCCTACAGCATGGTCATAGAGAATGAGTGAGTAATGGGGGGGAGGTAATTTGATTAAAGCAGGATACATACAGGCCTGAAGTACCAAGGCAGAAACCCCCTCAGATGTCAATAAACACTTAAAAAAAAATGAAAGGCAGAAGGGTAAAATAGGTCTTTTCCAAGGGTAGGTACCAGGGGGAGGTGGGTGGGCATAAGGAAAAGGGGAATGAGGGTGGATAAGGGGGATGTATTTTGTATCCACATATGAAAATAGAAGAATGAAACCTATTGAAATTGTTCTAAGAAGGGGGGAAGGAGGAAGAAGGAGCATGATGAAGGGGATAAATCTGACTAAGATATATTTTAAGCACATATGTAGATATCACAGTGTATCCCCCTGTATAAATATTATATGCTAATAAATTTTTAAGAATTACCCCCTAGCCAGACACAGTGGGACGTACCTATAGTCCCAGCTGCTCAGGAGACTGAGTTAGGAGTTGAAGGTCAGCCTAGGTCAGCCTAGGCAACTTCACGAGACCCTGCCTCCAAAAAAAAAAAACTAGTCAGGGCCAGAGTGTAGCTCAGTGTTAAAGCAAGGGCTGAGCTTGTATGGATTTTGTGAGTAACTTTTTGTATTTCTGTATTTTTCATTTTTTTTCCTTTGGTGGGACTGGGATTTGAACTCAGGGCTTCACGCTTGCAAAGCAGGCCACTCTACTGCTCAAGCTGCACCTACAGTTCATTTTGCTCTGGTTATTTTGGAGATGGGGGGTCTCAGGAAGTACGGTGCCCAGGCTGGCTTTGAAACTCGATCCTCCAGATCTCAGCTCCCAAAGTTACAGGTGTGAACCACCAATGCCTGGCTTTTCTTTTTCTTTTGACAGAACAGGAGTTTGAACTCAGGGCCTTGGGCTTACTAGGCAGGTGCTCTATCACTTGAACCATACCTCCAAACCTTAAAAGTAATTTTCTTAAAAATCTCAGCTGCACAAAATTTTAACTATTGCATACTTCAAAATTTCACTTACAATTTTTAAGTTTATGACATAAAAAGCATTCCTTAAAACTGAAATCAGTTTTTAATTTTCCCCTATATGTTTTTCATAAGTATGAAAATGATTTCTGTTTAAGCTTTTCAAGATGAATCAAGAAAGGGTGGGTTTTTTTGTTTTTGTTTTTTTTCTTTTGGTGGCCCTGGGGTTTGAACTTAGGGCCTCACACTTGCTATGCAGATGCTCTACCACTTGAGCCACTCCACCAACCCAGGGCCAGGCTTTAAGATTATTCATGGCTTCTCCTTTAGGGAGAGCAGTGTGGTAGACAGAATACCGACCACCCTCCAACCCTGAGATATTTGCATGCTCAGAGCCTGTGAATGTGTTGGTTTTCATGGAAAGAGGAACTTTGCAGGTGTGATTCAATTAAGGATTTTGAGATAGGGAGAGTATTTTGGATTATTGAGGGAGGCCCAATGTAATCACAAGTGAAAGAGAGAGATAAGTGGTGAGAGTCAGAGGAAAATGACAAGGAAGTGGAGTTTGGAGTGCTGTGATTGCTGGCTTTGAGGACTAATGGGGACCACAGGCCAGGATAGAGGGCAGCCTCCAGAAAGAGAAGAGGGAAGACTACACATTCTCCCCTGCAGACTCCACAAGGAATGCAGATTTGTGCCTTTTTGAAACTCATTTCAGAAGTGTGACCTTCAAAACTAGAAGATAATTTGTATTGTTTTAAGCCTCTAAATTTGTTACAATAAGAAACATAGAGCAGGGGTGTGCCAGCACAGGTGGTTCACTTCTGTAATCCTACCTAATTGGGAGGCAGAGTTCTGGAGGATCACGGTTGGAGGCTAGCCCGGGCAAAATAATTTGCAAGACCCTATCTCAAAAATACCCAACACAGAAAGGTTGGTGCCTGCCTGGCAAGTGTGAGGTCCTGAGTTCAAACTGCAGAACCACCAAAAAAAAAAAAAAAAAAAAAAGAAATGAAAAAGCATACAGATACTAACCAGTCCTCCTCAGAGATAGATAGCAGGCGAATTTTATTTTATTTATTTATTTTGTTTTGCGGTACTGGGGCTTGAACTCAGGGCCATCACCTTGAGCCACTCCACTGGCCCTATTTTTTTTGTGAAGGGTTTTTCGGGATAGGGTCTTGAGAACTATTTGCCCAGGCTGGCTTCAAGCCTTGATACCCCTGACAGGTGTGAGCCACCAGCGCCCTCCGAGAATTTTATTATTTATTTACATTTATTTTTACTTTTTAAAATTTGTTGGAGATAGGGTCTCACTATGTAGGCCAGGCTGGCCTAGGACTCAAGATTCCTCTGCCTTATCTTCCCATTACTAGGATTATAAGTGTGTACCACCATGCTCACTCCAGAAGGGTACCCTTGGAGGAATGGTCCCCAGGATTAGAAAAGATCTTATGGTGGCACATTTGGTTGTGCCTCTTCACAAGAGCACTGGTGACAAGGAATTATCTAGCTCACCATCTCTCAAACATGCTCTTCAACCATAAGACCACCCTAAGTGTTAGACCTGAGGCAAACAACAGAGCCTCTACCCACCAGATCCTTCTTCCTTTCATTCTATCAAACTGGCTTGAATGAGGTCTTCAGAGGTTACAATGTAAACAAAATCAACTTCCAAGTAAAATGTGAAAGATTCCCAGTAGACACCATAGAGATGAAAATCTCTTAACTTGATTTATTTTTCTTTTGGTTCTGAGGATCAAACCCAAGGCCTTGGGCATGCTAGGCAAGTACCAAAAAGTAGTATTTGAAGGTATTTTTTTTTATAATTGCAGAAAAGGTATTATAAAATTAAATAATAATACATATTTTAAAAAATCTC